AACCCGCCTGGCAAGCGTCGTGACTTTCAGCAGACGCAGGAAGTTTTGGTTAAGAGCACAAGTTATTATTATTTAAGCAACTGTATATTTGATGTAACCTTATGTCACTAGACGTTCGTAACTCAAAACAGTTTATTAAAGTCGAATGTAATATTTTTCTATTGCTCTCTAATATCTCTAATGTAAACGCAAAATATGGATTTGGAACATGATGGTAGTTAAACTCTTGAATATTGATGATTTGAATCCCAGATCTTGATGCGGGAACAAACAATTTCATATGCTTTAAAAGCAAGTAACCGGTGCAGTGCACTGCATCCTATACAGGTTGTTCCAAAACTCAACCTCAAACGGATACCAGGGGAGAGGTCAAGTTATAATAATTCTGACAAAAATAATAAAAAAGCAATGAACATTATTAGTTTAGCGAAAAAATATAAGTTTGATTGAATTACGATTTCATGATCATCATCACAGCCAAAAGTTTACTGCTGGACATAGGCTTCCAATCACATCGATTGCCTCGTAAGGAAGATATTTGCCATAATTGCCACGGTTGATAGGCAGATTTGCAATCGCAGTTTACAATTTGAAGTTATTACCAGGAATATGCTGCCGCCTACATGGTTTAAGAATATCTATTACCCGATATTATCCCTTCGGTATCCTAATAAGTGACAGAGAGAAAGGAAACAGGTCAGGGTTGTACTAAAATAAATATAAGCCTGGATAAGTCATTTCAAAAGACGCTCCTTTAGTCAAGATTTCGAAATGGCACAACACTTGCCACTTTTCCCATAAAAACTTTATTATTTCTGTGCAAAAGGATCTCATTAAAAAAAAAAGAAACAGATGTCTATGAATCAATTTAATCATAAGTCTATTGTTGGTATTTTATTTATTGATATGGGTAAAACTCAACGCACGGAATTATTGTATACTCTATAATATTTTTTTTTTGTATTAAAGCTACTTACTACTTTTTTGTAAGTAGTTTATACAATCTGTATTTTTATTGTTACTTAATGTTGACAATAATTTCCATTGTGTTTCTTGCTGGTTCTCAGAACAGAGGTTTTTTTCCGAACCAGTAGTGAACACAGGCCTCCGTCATAGATTGCCTCATACAGGGATATTTGACATAATTGACACGCTTGGCAAACGGGTTGGCAACCGCAGTTTTGTATTTCTAGTCGTAGTTAGAAAACGCTGCTGCTCATCTCCTGATTTGTTTCCATCTGTTGCCTGTTACGACACCAACTGGATGATATGAGGTAGTGGATATTTTTACACCCATTTTTTTTATTATGTGCGAGCAGCTATGCAGGTCTAGATAAAGAGACCAGTATCACTGCGACCTAGAAGATCTATTGTGATCGCTGCTATGGCTATAGTTCACTGCTAAGCCCTATGTCTTCAATGAATCGAAGGAGTTGCTTAGCCGTGAGCAATTTCACTTCTGGGCGGAGTAGATAGTGTCCCAGATGAGTGTTACGTTTGCGCATTAAGGGTCCGCAATCGGTTAGGATGTGTAGAGGCGTGTCTGCCGTTATGGAACAGTACCGACACATTCTTGAGTTGCTTAGTCCCAGGATGGACATGTGTTTTTTAACACAACAGTGTCCAGTTAGGGCTCTTGCCAGAATGCGCAATTTATTTTCACTTAATCCCAGGGCTTCTGAAGCGAATTTACGATCAAAAGCCCGGATTAAGGTTTTAGAATGTTTTAAGCCTGGTGTGTCAGACCAGATCTTAAGTGATTTATTGTGATAAAGAGTTTCAAGGGTCAATCGGGCTAGGCTTCTTGAGATTCCACAAAATGGCTCGGGTCCAAATTGTGTGCACTTTGAGCCCTCCCGTGCAAGTTTGTCGGCAAATTCGTTGCTTACAATACCCTCATGACCCGGAACCCAGCTTAAAACAACCCTGTTGTTACAACCTAGGGCGTTTAAACGGTTCACGCAGTCTCCAACTAGCTTTGAGTTCACTAAGTTTGATCTCAGCGCTAGCAGTGCTGCTTGACTATCAGAGTTTATGTAAATTTTATGGTTGACGTAGTGTTTTTGCAGATTGATTTCCGCACACCGAAGTATGGCGAAAATTTCTGCCTGGAAGATAGAGGTGTATCTACCCAAATTCATACTAAGTTTGAATTTGGGGCGTTCCCCGTAAATTCCAAAGCCTACGTCGAGGCCCATTTTAGACCCATCGGTATATCATATGAGGCTACCGACCTCACAGATAACCTGGCCATTCAGCCAGTCTTCTCTGGAGGGTGATTCCACTATATACTTTTTATCAAAAGTGTACAGTGGACGCATGATATCTGAGATCATGCATAAGACCGGTGATTCCTTAATTGAGCCGAGCATGGATCTCAATCTGTAGAAGAGCAAGCTCAGACCGCCCTGGGCGTTAATCCTATACAAACTAGTCCTCGCCTCCTTGTCTAGATAGAGATCAAGGGGCGTTAGGCATAGAAGTGCATTAAGCGCCGCTCCAGGCGATGATCGCATAGCTCCAGTTGCCATTAGGCAGGCAGTCCTTTGTAGACTATTTAGTCTGTCCGCAGCCGTCTTTTGGTTTGCCTTGTTACACCAGACAATAGAGGCGTAGGTGAGAATCGGCCTCACTATGCTGCTGTACAGCCATAGGACCATACTGGGATGCAAGCCCCAGTTGTTCCCGACCAAACGACTGCACGTACCTAAAGCAATTTTTGCCTTATGGCATACGTTGCTAAGGTGAGAGTTCCACGTTAGTTTTTGGTCGATTGTTAAGCCCAAGTACTTAACTTCCGTGGAAAATGGTACTTCTTTGCCATTAAGTTTTGGTTGGACTAATTTGTCCAAGCGTCTCTTTTTGGTAAAGGGTATTATAACAGTTTTATCAGAATTAACTGATAAACTGTTATCCCTACACCAGTTATTTATGGTGTTTAGGGCTCTTTGTATTATTGACGATAAAGTACTTTGGCAAAAGCCCCTTGCAATGATCACAAGGTCATCAGCATAACCCAATGTGTCAATGCGTAGGTCTGCCATTTTGTACAATAGTTGGTCAACCGCAAGAGTCCAAAGAAGGGGTGACAAAACACCTCCTTGTGGGCAGCCTCTTGTGGTTGCAACCTCAATCGAAGTTTGAAACAGCGCTATTTTTGCCTTTCTGTTTGAGAGCATCGACTTCACCCATCTGATGGTTGTGCGGTCAACATTTTTATATGTTAGGCCCCCAATCAGCAGTGATGTTGGGCTACTGTCGAAGGCGCCCTCAATATCTAGAAAGGCACAAAGAGCTATTTCTTTATCCTCCAGTGCTTTTTCGACCCTGTCAGTGACACTGATCAGGGCTGTTTCCGTAGATTTGCCTCTGCGGTAAGCATGCTGGTTGTAATGTATGGGCCTCGTAGCTAGAGCTACATCCCTTATATATCTATCTATAACCTTTTCCAATGTCTTAAGAAGAAAGGAAGATAGGCTTATAGGATTAAAGGACTTTGGTAAAGCGTAGTCCTTTCTACCAGCCTTAGGTATAAATAGAACCTTGATAATTATCCATCGTTCTGGAATATATCCCCATGCAAAACTTGCTCTGAAGATTTTCACCAGATAAGGAAGAAGGATGTCGATACCCCTCTGTATTTTATTATTTATTTTATTCTTTATTGCATCCTTAACAAAAGAATACAAGGGGCGGACTTAATGCCTTGAGGCATTCTCTACCAGTCAAGTTGGATGGGAATTATTCCATCCTCCCCGCTTGATTTAAATGGTTCAAAGGAGTCAACAGCCCACTGCACCAGGTTTGGCCTTATTATCTTTGCAGCCCTACGCCAGTCCTCATTGCAAGGCCTTCGTAGGGCTCTGAAAGAGTTCAAGGCTGAAGTCTTGTATGACCCTGGGAAATGGCTTGACGCTAGTAACTCCAATGTTTCTGTTTCACTATTGGTGAAGTTACCATCCGGCTTTTTAAGAAGCCCGATCTGATTAGGTTTAGCTTTCGATAGCATCTTGTGCAGTCTTGCACTGCGAGGCAAAGACTCAACTTCCTCACATAGCTTCCTCCACGATGCTCTCTTGGCTTTCATAATTTCTTTATTATATTTATTTATTTATTTATTTATTCTTTTTTGTACATCACAATACAGAAACATCAATATAGTTAAAACTAATTAAAGTATGTACAATAGGCGGTTTTATCACTGAAAGTGATTTCTTCCAGACAACCTTTGCGTAGAGGAATGTTGCAAACAAAAGTTACAAATAGAGGGGGGCATACAAAATAATAATAATAATAAAAAAATACAATAATACCTACAAATAAAAATAAGTGAAAGTTATATATAAAATATCATATAATAGATTAAATGAAAAGAGTACGAGAAAGGTAAAGTAATTTATCTAATAGCGTTCTAAATAATACGATTTAACAAGAATTTTTAAAGAGTGTAGAGATTTAGCACGACGAATATGGAGAGGTAAGGAGTTCCACAATCGCACAGCGGTTACGGTGAAGGATTTCTTGAAAAAGGAAGAAGAGTGCAAAGGTGTAGAGACAGAAAGATTGACGGAGGATCGAAGGAACCGATTATGGGTAAGAGAAAGATACTGGAAACGGTTTTTTAAATAAAGAGGAGTAGAAGGATTAAACAGCACACTATACAACGCGGAGAGAATGTGAGCCATTTGAGATGTTTGCGAAATTCGGAGATATGATCATATTTGCGAAGCCCAAATATAAATTATTTACATATATTCAGTTAGGGCTGCACTATAGATATCCCACTCTTTGGTTTTCTTAGCCCTATTAAATAGTTTCCTGGTCTTTTCCCTAAGGTCTTTCAGCTTAGAATTCCACCAAGAAACTTTTCGTGTTGAGGTCTTGGTTTTGACGGACAACAGGGTCATTTAATGTCATCAATCTTCAACAACTACGAACATTTGTTAGTCGAGCAAAGCCCTATTGAAATGACTACTAAATAGTTTTATTTCTTTTTCTAGGAGAGCTACAGCGAGGTACAGGTGGGCTCCTCGTCGGAGCCCGAGCACTGTCACTGGCGGCCGCAAGCGGAGCCCCCGAGCTCCGTCCCTCAACTACTGGCAGCGTTACTACTCTGTGCTGTATTCATGGTAATTATATACATATACATATAAATAAAATTTAAATGTCTGTCTGTAATATTGAAAAAAAACTGGATTCTAATACACAGGATTATTTGAATGCTGTTAAGACATGGATGGCTTGCGCGTGTGCGCGTGCGCGCCACACGCGCTCACGCGCACACGCGCACACCGAAGCCAATCCTAATGCTGAAGTATCGTTATTAAAGGTTTTAGAAATTGTTATATGAGTAATTTACTCGTTTGAGAAAATTGAAAGTATTAATGTTGGGTTTTTTTTGGTCGTTACGGAATATGTTAGGGCTGAATCTGAATGACAGGGTGAGAAATTGTGTGATAAGAGAAGAGTGTGGTTTGCAAGATGATGTGACCAGGATTAAGAAAGGAATGCTTCGGTGGTTTGGTCATGTGGAAAGAATGAATGAGGAAAGAGTGACTAAGAAAATTTATGTTGCAGAAGTGAATGGCAGAGTCGGAAAGGGACGCCCTAGACGAAAATTTATCGACCAAATTAGCGATTTATTAAAAATGGGCCAAATTAGGAGTACCCTTAACCGACGAGCATGTATGCGTAGGTATATGGATGTGGAGGAAGCGAGAGAGGTGTGTCAGGATCGTGCTAAATGGAAGTCTGTAGTCTCTGCCTACCCCTCTGGGTGACAGGCGTGCGTGTTTATGTATGTAATGTTGGGTTAAAAGAAGATTCTTAGTTTCTTGGTAATTAAGGGTTTTTAAGAATTTCGTCAATGTTATTTTTTTACTTTACTTTACTTTTGTTATAAAGGAAGGGTACCATGAAGCAGAAAAATTTACCTGAAAGAGCTGAGTGGAAAGTTTGAGTTTTGCATATATCTTTGTGGCGCTTATACTTAAGAAAATCTGGGTTATAATGTATCAATTAAATACGTATCACTAAGGATAACTAAAAACTAGTGGTATCTTGAAAAAATTTATATGGGACTACGTGAAAAAACATCACTTTTAAAATAAAAGAAAGAATCATCAAAATCGTTTCACCTTGAAAAAAGTTCTGAGGTAACACATTAAAAAATACTGTAGAATTGAGTACGTCCTCCTTTTTCGAAGTCGGTTAAAAATAACGATTTTTTTAGCCTTCCGTGTTTTTGCTAGCACATTTCATTTAAATTTATTTCAAGTTTTACTTCAGTATTGCAATACAATTCCAGTATTGTTGAGTCGAGCATTGAGGTCGAGCACTCTTGTTCAGAATTTCCATAATACAAGTAGAGCTCGGGGCTCTCTCGTGTTTGATTTGTGAATATCATGTTTTGCATTTATCACAGCGCTCATATTTAATGGTTTTTTTAAACCTATAGATATAAAAAAATTTAAATGTCCATATGTAATATTGAAATTACTGGTTTCTATTAAGTCTGGGTATGCCAGAAGAAGCATAAAAGCAAGTTGAATGCAGTGGAGATGTGATCTCTTCGTAAAATGTGTGGCGTATTCATAGCCGACCGAAAGCGAAACGAAGAGATTCGCAATATGACAGGATTGAAAGATGACCTTATCACAAAAATTGATAGGGGCGTACTCCAATGGTTTGGGCACGTTGAACGAATGAATGAAGACCGAATGGTGAAGAAAATATATAGAGCGAAAGTAAATATTAAAAGGTGTCGAGGTAGACCGAGACTAACTTTCGAAGACCATGTGAGCAAATTGCTCGAAGAGGGGAGGGTCAAGAGTACTCGGATACCTAGACGTGCATGTATGAAGAAGTTAATGAACCTGAAAGAAGCGAAAGAGGTATGTAAGGATCGTGACACTTGGCGATCTGTTCTCTCTGGCTACCCCGTTAGGGATTGTGCGTGAAGATAAGTAAGTAAGTAAGTAAGTTCAGAAGTTATTTGCATGCTACTAAGATGTCATAGTACAAGCATGCTACAAGATATCTATACATGGTAGAGCCATGCTGCAGTTATATTAGTAGTATAGTTGTAGCTAGTAGCACAAATGGGTCGGCTCGACCGGGGAAAGAACACGCACTCACAGAATACCAGCGTGAAATAGAAGCTGAATCCGTTTTACTGGAATCGAGGCATTCTATCTTAGTCCTAAGCGGTGACAACGCAGCTGCATTTTGATACTTAATCGAGGTTAAATGAATGATGTCTATGGGCCACAGCATCCACTTACCATCAGGTGGACTGTGTGCTCGAGCCGACCCATTCGTGCTACAACTATACTACTAATATAGCAGCAGCATGGCTCTACCACGTAAATATGGATACTCTTGGGTTTGTGATTATATAAACAAGTAGGTAAAGCTGTGTTTGTTGTACTTATATTGATATTATTGCTATATCTATCTCTACGGTAAATAAATAGGTGCACAAAGGTAGGAATTAGCTTGCGACAAATCAACCCGTTTTTTTTACTTTTTTATTTTTATCTTTCGTTGCTTACTTCTTAATGGGGGGTTTTTCCTTTTCCGTTTAACGTCAACATCAGCCGTGGATCGCGAAATTTTTAATTTAGTTTTTTCTTTTAAAGTTTTTTAAGAATTCGTACGCCACTGTCTAAATATCTGTCTAAATATGTGTCTTACCTAGTACGCCTTTACATTTTACCAGTACTGCTACATTTAAATTTGTTTTTATTGTACGGCCGACATCCGACACCGTTATGTTGAGTGGGGGTGTTATGAGTGAAATTAAAAATGAACATCAAAGTCAGTGAAGGATTAGTTAATGGCTGCATTGAAGTAGGTCAGGGTTTTCGGTGGGAATGTTTAAAAAAAGATTAGTAGGAAAATGCTGCTGGCCATACATAGCCCAACGAAAGACCTTTTCCATTCTCTCGTGGGTAAAAAGGGTCTTCGGTTCTCTACACTTACGAGTACCATACGAAACAAAACAGCATTCATCATTTACGCTTGGTATTCTATGAGAGCGTGGTCCTTCCCCCGTCAAGCCGACCCATTTGTAATATAACCATAATTAATTTGCAGCACGGCTGTACCACGTAATAAATTAACATAAATGTAATATAACACTCACGCCTGCCACCCAGAGGGGTAGGCAAAGACTATGGACTTCCAATTGACACGATCCTGACATACCTCTCTCGCTTCCTTTACATCCATACGTATCCATACGCACACACGCTCGTCGGTTAAGGGTACTCCAAACGTGGCTCATTTTCAAAATATCGCCAATCTGGTCGATGAACCTTCTTCTAGGGCGTCCCTTCCTGACTGCCGTTTACATCTGCATTATAAATGCTTTCTAATTAATTGCATGGGCATAGGCCGGCCACTCACATATATTTTCTCATAGGGTATCATAGGGTTCTCATAGGGTATTTGCCATAGCTGCTATGGTTGATAGACGGGTTGACAGCCGCATTTTTATGTCCCTCTGTAAGTGGCGACCTTCTTGCGAAATCCACGGAATGATATGGGCTGGTAGATTTCTTTACGCCCTAATTACTGGAGCCTACTCTTTTAAAAGGCCGGCAAGGCACCTGCGGTTCCCCGGTGTTGCAGTTTTTCACGGGCGGCGGTCGACACTTACCATCAGGTGAGCCGCATGATCGCTTGAAACCTCTCCTATAAAAAAGTACACAGTGAAAAACTTTATTAAACTAGCTACCTATATTCTAGTTTCCAAAAAACGAATGGACCACACCTACTTTTTTCTTATCTATAGCATATCTACGAGTATTACTTAACAGTTAGCAAGTACCCTCATAAGTTCATGTACATTTATTAACTTGTTCTTTTTCATGATAAATTAATTGTATTTTTTAAGGATAAAACGTCTTATACCATAAATGAGAGCTTTTCGTTCTAAAAAGCTTTACGGGAATTGATAAAACCCTTTTGATCATTGTACCTAAACGTTTTACGGGTATTTTCACAAGAGCCAAGTTGAATTTTGTTAAGGGCTGAGTCAAATAAGTCTAATGTAAATTGCGTAGCTTTTTGATATGCGTTATAGTTTTCAAAAAGCTGTTTCGCCGGAGGAGCTGTAATAGTACAGGAGCTAAGCGGTGGCCGTAAATATCACAGTTCACGAGCGAATGGGATACGATTCCCGCCGGCACAAATAAAATTGTTAATTATTATTTTATGTGATGATTTTACATGTGCTCGGCGGGGAAGGGATAAATAAAATTAAAAACACTTTTCGATCAATATCTTTATCGAAAACTGTTTTTTCTATTGACCTGGATAAAAATATTTCGAAGACATGTATGTACCTATATGCCATTTGACGTGTGGTGGCTGCGTTAGAGAATCGTTTGCTCTTCGTCACGTGGGTGACGTAAGAAACGACTATGAAAAATGCCACAAAAAACTTACGGCTTCCGATAAATGGTGCTACAACAATATCGTTTATGCCATACGTAAAATACCTAAGTCGGCAATGGGCAGTGTCGTCAGGGTTGCGAAACGTCGCCCCTGCTAAGATTGACGATAAAATTACATCCTCCCTGCAACATTCGAGGCAAATGTCTACCAGTACACTTACGGTCCGATGATGATGATGACGTGAAGTCCACAAGCACGCACTGAAGCAGCGCGGCGATGCAATTGTTCCACAACTCTCTCTGATAGAGAGCAGACCAGCTGGCTTAATCTTGAAAATAATCCCGATCGATCGGGATTGAAATTACAACGTTTGGTACTCTTGAAAGCGACTCTAGCGCTAAATTAGTTTAGTATTGCGTGGTGATTGTGTGAACTAATTGAGATTGGAATTAAAATTGTCCAAGCAAAATCAGTACTCCCGACGCACTTTTGACTGTTAGCAGCAGCGTATTGTGTTTGATATTGCGTGGAATTAAGTTGGTTGTTTGTTTTTGTTTTTCTGTTTTTTTTTTTCTTTTATTTTTCCTTTTTCTTGGGTTTGTTTTCTTTTGTTTGTGCAATAGCAAAACAGTAACGTTTTTTTGCCTAGCTGTGGTACGTATATCGGCTGCGACTTTACTAACTTTACCTAGGTTTAACAGCAGTATTCGCGAGGCCTGGCAGGCAGCAGGCTGTTCATTAGAAAACTCTTTAAAGTCGAAAGTGAAAAAAAATTAAACCAAAGTTATTAATACAACAAAGAAGTATTAAAATTTTATTAATTATTCGTTCGTTTACCCCATCCCTAACACCCCCGAGTTCAACCGACCACGGTTCAATGTACACCGACATCAAAGTTAATTAGTTTGATTTAAACCTAAGTACCTACTTAACGGCAGCGGTGAGCTTATGTAAATGAACATTATTTAAAAAGAACAGCCCTTAACATGTTTAAAATGGAAACAGGGTCTTTATAATATTTAAACCCTTCTCTTTCAGGCATTGTAAAGTTATTTTTGGTTTTGATTTTTTTACTGAAGTTTTAGTTTGATTATGAGAGTGGCACTTACCCATATGGAATCTTGGGCAGAAAAGAAATCCTTCCAACTAAAAAAATCCTCCCACCATTGGAACGATTTCCCAACTAGTGGACTATGTACAATCTGAAAACATTAGTAATTGTTATTATATTTGATACTGTTATATGTCTGTTTGTCGAAGGTTATATAAATAGATTTTAATTAGAACTGATCGACAAAGGTACAATTTTTTTAAATAGAAATATGAGCGACATACGAGCGCACAGTCCCCAATGGGAACGTCCAATATTCGATTCTTAAAAAATCGATATAGATTATTTAGAATTGGTAATCATTTACAGTTTGATTTGAATAATACCAAAATAAATTAAAAATGGATAATTTAAAACTCAAGATTTATCAGTTTCTTTGTATTTGGCGTTACTGCTTATTTCTAGAGGCAAAGTTATAAAAATTTAAAATTGAAACTAGATTAAAAATAAATTTATTCAATCACTTTTAGTACAACTAGTACAACGTTGTTTAGATTAAATATGATTTGATTTTCAATAATGCAGTCGAAATTATTGTCTCTTTCAAAGTCATCCATAATCATTTTTTTTTTGTTTTTTTCTACCACTTTTACCCAAGCATCCTTTGTGACATGGGCACATGCTTCAACGAATATAGAAGAGACAGTCCAAACAGTTAAAGCCGAGTCACAAAATCGGAAGTCAAACACAAAATTACGCAGAGTGAACTCCCGAAATGGCGGGAGTATGAAATTACGTAGGTAATGGTTTTTTCACCGCGGCCGTGTATGAGTTTTTTGCCTACACAAATTTACGTTGACATAGTAAAAATGCTTGTTTTATTCATGATTCATGTAAAAGTAATTTTAAAAATAAAAAAAATATTAATCAAATAATACATTTAAAAGATTAATGATTCCATTATTTGAAAAGTTTTAGCGATTATTTGAATATTTTTGCTGATTATTCGCATAACAATGTATTTTAATCATCCAAACACTATGGTGAGGTACATAGCGACATATCATTGAAACGACGTCAAGTTAAAAAGTTGATACTGGTTATTTTTTAACATTTTGCTTTGTTTGGAAGATTCGAATTTAAATTAGTGATAAAAATTATACACGTTGTAATGAAATATGGATAATTTCATGATTCTTCGGGTTTACATAAAAGGTTATATTAAATCGTGTGAGTACGCTTGTGCAAAGTTTGATAAATGTGAAACGTCAAAAGGTATTTCTTAGATTTGGTTGACTATAGTTAATAAAAGCCGTGGTAGCTATGGGGCTAAGTGCTCGCTGTAAATCTCACAGTACGCGAGCAACCCGGGTTCGGTCCCCGCCGGCACTAATGAAATTGTTAATTGCAATTTTAAGTGTTGATTTACCACATGATAGGCGGTGAAGCAAAATATCGCGAGAATTCTGCATTTGAACCTGGAGCGGTCCGCCACGTAGTCCCAGCCGCCTCAGATGACCCGAGAGGCTGACTGGGATTAGCCCGTTTGCAGAGACGACTACAGGAATAATTTCGGTCGGCAGACCACCCCACATGTCGGTCACCTCGTGAGCCAGGTCCAGATATTTTGTTTGCTTGTCTGTTTCGGATTTCACGAGGTTCTCGTCATACGGAATGGTAATGTCGACCAAAAATATCCTTGACTGTGCCCGGTCCATCAGCACAATATCAGGCTTATTCGCAAGAATAGTCCTGTCTGTGATGATGGCCCGGTCCCAATAGAGCCTGGCGCGATCATTTTTGAGCACGGCTTCCGGCAAGTACTTGTAATACGGCAATTTTGTTTTTGTAATTACGGCGATCCACGAGACCGTATTTCAGAGCGAGCTCCTGGTGTAGAATTCTGGCTACTAGGTTGTGCCTGTGCAAGTACTCAGAGTTAGAAAGCGCCGAACATCCGGAGATAACATGCCTAAGTGACTCACCGGGATGGCGACAAGCTCGACAGATGTCGACGGTGCCATCCTTTAGGATGTATCTCCGATAGTTGTTGGTCTTAATAACCTGATCCTGTATTGCACAGACAAAACCGTCGGTTTCCCCGAAGAGATCACCAAAGCGTAGCCAGTGGAGGGAGGCTACTGTGTCTACGAAAGGCTCATGTAGAGCCTTGTAGAACCTCCCGTGGAGCTCCTTCTCCTTCCATACGGTCTCCCGGTCGGAAATGCTCTGCACTGCCGGATCTTGCCATTGCTCGTTGGCTAAGGATAGAGGGGTAAGTCCTTTATCACAAGAAATGACGTCCTTATAGAATGGATCATCCGATCTCGCCAGGAAGTAATCAGGGAGGCTGCACACTTCGCGATTATGCATGGTGAGCGCGCTCAAGAAGCCACGACCACCACGCGTTACACCACGAGTACAGCCTCATTACCGACGATCTCGGATGATGCATCCTATGGGACGTCGTGGTAGTGCGGACTTTTCTATCCAGGGTGTTAAGTTCAGTCTGAGTCCACCCGAGTATGCCAAAGGTATACATGAGGACAGGCATGACCCAGCCGTTATATGCGTGTGCCTTATTCACACCGGACAAAAGGCTGTTAAGCACTTTGGTCAAGCGTGCATAAAACACGTCGTAAACTGACTGTTTCATACCAGTCTCATCGATACCGATGTTTTGTGACATACCCAGGTATCGGTATATTTCAGCCTCGGAAAGGGTCCTTAAGTTGACGGGTATAGATAAGTCTACGCCCTCAGAGTTAGCAACCCTTCCCCTTTCAACATGGAGAACCGCACACTTATCCGTCCCAAGCTCCATTCCAATGGAATTGCTAAATTCACAAGTGATGTTTAGCAATTCCATAAGATGGGAGCGACTGGAGGCGAATAACTTGAGGTCATCCATATAGAAAAGGTGGGTCACTTTTGTCCCTCCTTTCCGTAGCTTAAATCCCCTCCCGGAGCCCTCCAGTAAGGTACTGAGAGGGTTCAGAGAGAGGCAGAACCAGATTGGACTCAGACAATCGCCCTGGAAGATACCCCTTCTTATCCTTATGTGGTTCTCCGCAGCCATCATCCGCTCGCCCAGATGACAAAGGAACGTACTCCACTGCCCCATACACTGCTCGAGGAAGTCTCTAACTGTACAGTCTATCTTGTACAGCTCGAGGACTCTCTTTAGCCATGTATGGGGCACCGAGTCGAACGCCTTTCTGTAGTCTATCCAGGCGGCGGAGAAGTTCCGACGGTTGCGTTTCACCACTTTGCCAATGACCGCGTCAATGAGGAGTGGTTCCTTGGTTCCACGACCACCGCCCCGACATCCATTTTGAGCGCGCGACATCACCTGATTTGAGTCCAGGTGACAAGTGATTCTCGCGCTCAAAATGGATGTTAGTGTCTTGTATATGGTCGGTAGACACGTGATGGGGCGGTATTTGCTCGGGTCTGTGGTACCCTGGTCTTTAGGAACCAAATGAGTGATCCCAGTAGTGAAGAGGCTTGGGAGCGACTTCTGGTTGAGAGCCTCTTGAAACTGTCGGGCGAGCACAGAGTGACACACCATGAACCCCTTCAGCCAGTAGTGCGGCAGCCCGTCAAGCCCCGGACTTTTTCAGTTCGGGGCCCTACGGACCGCCACAGCTACGTCATCCGGCGTTATGATGACGGGGTCCATGGGCGTAATACCCACACACTGACTCGCCACAACTTCCGTCCAAGAGCCCTCGCTGTGGTTTACGGGCTCTGACCACAGGCCGCGCCAGAATGCTACAGTGTCGGCCTGATTCGGTGCTGGACCCGTTCCACTTACCATTGGTCGCTCCAATGATTCATAGAGCCTCTTCTGATCACTCTGGAAGAGACGATTCTGGTTTAACCGTGTCGACCTCTCGGTATATCGCCGAATCCGCTATCCCCAAGCAGCGATTCTCTGCTTCAGATCATCTATGCGCTCCGTCAGTTTTTGCGTTATATCCGGCTGGGACAAACTGACATTTGTCCCAGCAAACGCCATCCTGACGGTGCGCACAACTCTTGGCCTGTTGTTGCCTGATCTGAAGCATATCAGTCTGCCGATGAGAGCTCTAGCCTTTGCGATACGTTCCTCAATTCTTCTTCTCCATGCTGGGATAGCGCTACTATGGCCAGTAGCGCGTCCAGCCGTGGAAACCTTGGCGCCTATGATACGGCAGACTGCCAGCGCGGCGCCAAAAAGAATTGAGTCCGTCTCGCAAAGGTCCCGGCTGGCTTCCAAATAGGTAACCAGCATTGGGTTCAGAGCCCTCACGACAGCCCGATTCCGCTTGCTTAGGGCTATGCGGGGAAGTCGCGGTCGATTTTCGAGAGGCGTACTACGCGTTTCCACAATCGCCTCTTACTCCTCATATGCTCTAATTCCAGTTCCTGGGCGACTGTTCCATCATCGTTTGAATCAACCACAACTGGGGTATTCACGGCGGCATCCACGTTTGCGGCTTGCTCTACCATTTGTGGCGCCGCATCCTCAGCCGTAGCATTCTCATCCGACGAGGGAACAGCCTCACGTCGTAGCCGTTCGAGTTCGGCGACATCAAATATATTTGAGCGCAAGATATACCGAACTCGGTCTGCCAGGTTTTGCTCTGTGACGGTTAAAGATGGCTCCAGCTCAGCAAAAAGACGATGCATCCTAGCCCGATACGCCAAACATCCAGTTTCTTCCCCTTTTGCCCTAAAATACGCCCGCAGTGCGTTTGCATTCATTTCTTGTGACCAACGCATGCGACGTGCTCCACCAGCGGCGGGTGTCGCTTGCTGAGTCTGAGAAGACCCAGCCGACACCAAGCCTTCTGGTGGGGATGATGGATGCGGAGGGCTGCTAGGTGACCGTGCAGCTCCTCGCGCTCGGCTGGCGGCCCGCATGCTGCCGCGTCCAGCGCCAGCTCCAGACGCGCCCCGGCGACCCCCAGGCAGCGGCCCTTTGCGCGTTCTATTTAATTCCATCATCCATTTAACATCCAATTATTATTATTATTATTGTGGAATATCTATATAGTTTTCTCATCTGGTTGGGATGTATAAATATATAATTATAAACGAAAATGAAAAGATAAATATACATAAATATCAATAAAATAAAATAAATAAAAAAATACATAAATAAATAAAAGCCCAACCAGATGGAAGCCCTCGGCAGGGGAGACCAAACGGCCAAGGGTTAGGGGGAAAGGGAAAGAAACCGGTGGACGATGCGGGCAGTATCAAGGAGCACCGCCTTCTGCATTTGAGCCCGGAGCGGTCCGTCACAGAGTCCCAGTCGCCTCAGATGACCAGAGAGGCTAACTGGGATTAGCCCATTCGCAGAGACGACTACAGGAATAATTTCGGCCGGCAGACCACCCCACATGTCGGTCACCTCGTGAGCCAGGTCCAGATATTTTGATTGCTTGTCTGTTTCGGCTCTCACGAGGTTCTCGTCATACGGGATGGTAATATCGACCAAAAATATCCTTGACTGTGCCCGGTCCATCAGCACAATATCAGGCTTATTCGCAAGAATAGTCCTGTCTGTGATGATGGCCCGGTCCCAGTAGAGCCTGGCGCGGTCATTTTCGAGCACGACTTCCGGCAAGTACTTGTAATACGGCAATTTCCGGTCCACGAGACCGTATTTCAGAGCGAGCTCCTGGTGTAGAATTCTGGCTACTAGGTTGTGCCTGTGCAAGTACTCAGAGTTAGAAAGCGCCGAACAACCGGAGATGACATGCCTAAGTGAGTCACCGGGATGGCGACAAGCTCGATTATTATTATTATTATTATTATTATATGGACGTATACTTTACCTTTGTATCGTATACATATGCAATATTCCTATTGGTTTCAGATACAGAAGGGTGCGCAATGCTTAGAAAAATAATATCCACAAATAGTCCACGAAAACATCTTTGTACCTATATATAAAATTATCTAGTGATTGTCAATCATTTCATATGCCATATTTTATATAGAATTTAGATTGTTTCTGAAAGACAAAAATAAATAATATGAAATATTAGAGCGGATTGATTTATTAATATTTGAAATTAAAAGTATTTATAATAAAAATAATGAACAAGCTGCAAGGTTTATCGGATAATGTTTCTTGTAAACACAATTGTAAAACTGCTGTTATCATTTTTATCAATGATGAATTGTGAAACGTTATCAAGATAACTTTATATAAAATATTTTTAATTAAATTGGCACATGGCCTATTTGACCGTCTACTTACAACTTGGTCGAAATTTCATAAGAAATATTTGGTCTGTTTTTAATCCTCTTGTACTCCACTCACACACACAAAAAAACCTATATCAAAATTCCAGTTTCGTTAGTGGTGTCAGACCTATATATTCGATGAAAGGAGGTGCATTTCTTCGCGGTGTCGCCTTAAATGAATAGTTAAACAAACCAAGAGGTTCGTGATTTGAAATTTGTTGCAGCCTTTTATAGAAAAGCGTGACCTTAAATAGCATAAACTAGCTTTAGCGGTTATCAAAAAGCTCTAATATGTGTATAGCTTTTATTTAAAATTGATTTTGTTATTCTGTACCTCACCATTTTCGTCCTGTATTGCTTCCTGTCTTTACAAAATTGTACCTCATAGTCGTGTCTATGATTAAAATTTAATATTAAATAAACTACATGTTTAGATAAACTTTTATTATTTTATTAACACAGGAAACTGGCAGACCTTTCTATGCCAAGGTCACTGAAGATTAGACTACTACTTATTCATAATTTTTATAACGTTTAGGAGGAATTAGTTTATTAACTGAAGTTTACGTATGTGACAGATGCAGTAAATAAATATAGTAGATTTTAAAATAATACCGAAATGTTATGCAAATCAACAATCTGTGTTCCTCTTTTTCAGAACTGTTTTCAAATATATTCAGTTACTGTTAATAAAACAATAAGTATAGAAAAAAAACTTGATACACGACATTTCAGCGATATTAAAAGAAGTCCAGTAAGTACTTTAAAGTCGACTAATCTAAGAACTTCGAAACAATGCGGCGCATGTTCATTTAGTGACATTACAAACTTAGTAATCCGAGATAAAATGATAGTTAATCTTAGACATCTGATAAAACTTGTAAGTGCCAGTCATATATTAATGATAATATTTGGGTCATAATACTGGAAATAGTCTATTAATTTTTTTTTAGTACAATTGATCACCTTCAGTATAATTGGCCGTGTGTATGAATTTTATAAGTCTATATTATTTTTGGCGAAAATTATTATTGACGATAAAAGGCTTTATCACATTTATTTTAGTCTGGAATTAAATTAAACACAAAATAAAATTTTTAACTTTTCGGAAATCCCATCGGTAGTCTTCGTTTTACAAAGAAATGTAAAGACGTGCAGTGGCAGCAGTATAAACTTAGTCGTGTTTCTTTGAAACTGACCAGGTTTGTTTTATCCAAAATTAAGAATGTTGCTGATGAAACGTCGTAAAAATTAGGTAGGACCTACAAGCATAATTTTAAGATTAGGTGATAACTTTCACTTTAGCAAATGTCCCGTTGATAGTTCTACTAGTTCGTAACTGATCATATATATATATATATATATATATATATATATATATATATATATATATATAATAGTTGTGGACGAAAATAATGTCCTTACTTATACAGCGCATTGCATCAAAAATTTCTAATGTAAGCTAAAATGTGATAATATCTGTAAGCAATTGAGTAACAAAATAATAGAAGCATTTGTAAATACTTGCTTTACAACATTTAACCGTAATAATATAGAACAACATAGTCTCCGGCATGAATGTAAAAATTAATATTTTTGATAATTTTTGTGATATCTGAACAACCGCGTCAACGCAGGATTCAGATCCGTCTAGAAACGCTGAATTTCAGCGAACACTGTCGAATTTAGTAGGAGTGACAGAAAAAACGCTACTTGGTATAGAAGAGCAAAATGAATTATTGGAATAATGTATGTGGAATGATGAAATCGTGTTTTGAAAACCGCCACCAGTAATACGCTCAATTGTAACGATGTGAAATCACAAAACGATCCGCATGCTGCTCAATTTATCTCTATTCAGCCTCTTAAGGGGATATAGTAAGTCAGCTCAAATTCTAATTTCCACCCCACTTCCCCGCGCGTCGTGTGCTATGTACCGACATGTTTGTAAACACTAATACTGTAAGTAGATAGGTCGTTAGGCACTTATTTCATTAGGTCTATCATATTTATGCCTGTTTCTTAACGCCAAGCCAGCCGCTTCTTATTTTTATTACGGTTATTTCCCATTTTAATTTTAGTGTTGCGTAATGGTATTCTGAATTCTGATCGTAAACGACACAACTTCCCCCTTCAAAAGCCGAAGCGATACTAACCGGGCGGCAGGAATCAAGCTTCAAGACGCCGATAGTTTAGGCAATTTATTTTTACAATGAAAATAATGGTTTTAAAATAAAGTAAATAACATAACCACTGCTTTATAGTTCAGTTAGTATGCAAAGTTTCATGATCTTATTTAAAGTATTTTATGAATAACAGCGGTTTATTGTTCAGTTTGGAGGTAACTTTGGATTTTCTTTCTATCGAGAAAATTTTACGGAATCGTGTTTTCGTCTAACATAGTCCTTAACATTAATCCTCAACTTTACCATATATTTATTTCAAAATTAATGCTGCAATATTTTCTTTCGGAATAACAGCGGATCTTGCTAAGCCATTTGAGGTTATATTTCTCCTTAATATGGTCATACTTCGGGATTCAGGGATATTCAAAGTTTTTATGCGCAGATACTGGAAGATATAATATAATTATTTGTCCCGTATTAGACAAACATTATTCTCATATACATAACCTCATTACACGTAATACATTTTTGTGATTGGTTAGAGTAATAATATCTACATGCAGACTTTGACAGGATATTTTTTTTACTATTCTAAGCCAGCACTTAACTACAATCCCACCTGATGGTAAGTGGTGATGTAGCCTATGACGGTGAAGCGCACTGATTTAACAAAAACCTATTCACTCTTGCCTAATGAGTGAATCTCAAATACTTGAGTACATCAGCATCACACAATGCAATACTAAAATTTCTGTAACACAAAGGAATATGCTACACAAAATATTACAAAGGTTCATTTATACAAATTTACATTCGGTGCAAAACTATAAACATATTTTAACTTCCCGCTATGAAAATCAATGATTTTCAAAAAATGGGGAAGTTATTGTTTTCACCTCGGTTTTTGAAAATCGAGTTCTCAAGCTTTAATGCGTGTGCGTGAGCGTGATCGTGTGCGTGATGGTGTGCGTAAGCGTGAGCGTAAGCGTGAGCGTAAGCGTGAGCGTGTGAGTGTGCGTGAGAACGAACGAGTGCGTGAGTGTGAGCGATTGCGTGTGCGTGCGTACGCGCGTGTATGTGTGTGTGTGTGTGTGTGTGTGTGTGTGTGTGTGTGTGTGTGTGTGTGTGTGTGTGTGTGTGTGTGTGTGTGTGTGTGTGTGTGTGTGTGTGTGTGTGTGTGTGTGTGTGTGTGCGTGCGTGCTTGTGTGCGCTGTGTGTATGCATGTAGACATCTCATAACTTTTTAACGGAGTGTCCGATCGAGTAGTGTTTTTCGGGATCTGAAAGAGCCTTGCTGAACTAAAATTTTCCGAGAATTTAGAAAGAATCGTCATGGTTGTGAGTATTTTTAATTTTCGTAAAGTAATTTTCTTTGAATTACTTCGCCACCTTTGTTTTCATCAATTTTATAATCCAATCAGCTCTTACTCAAAAAACGACGTCGATTGCCGTGAACCGCATCAAAATTGGTTGATTCGCTCGAGATTTATCGTAGACAAAAGGAATCTCGAAAAAGTGTTTTTTTAAAATAACTTGAAAACTTTCCGTGAAACCAAATTTTTGTAATAAGCTTTTTTGTTAAGCTGAAAAAATACGTCGATTGATGTAAATGACATCAAA